ATATATATATATATATATATATATATATATATATTTATATATAGGGAGAGAGAAAGAGAGAGAGAATGTTTTGGCTGCACTGTGAAGTTAATATTATCTGAAGAAACATTGAGGGTTTACTTACTTGTGGAGTGTTTACAGATCCTGCTGGCTTCTGAACTGGAAGGGTATGAACACTGTCCAGAAAGTTATCTAACATTAAAAAGAAATCTGCCATTAGCACATCGTTTTAAACATGTGTGACACATAATTGATATATGTCTGAATAGGGGAACAAAGAAACTGAAATCTCCCAAATGACGTGTCATGAAAATGTACAAAAATCAGGAAACTTTCTAATACAAAACATTTTGAACTCACTTGAGCCCGTCTTGCTGGGAACTTTTATAATGGTTGGTCTTTTTACAACACTTGGCTTGTTGTTGAAGTTTCCACTCCCGTTTCCACTCCCATCCATATTGTACTGAGGTTTGACTGGGATGTTATCTGAACAACGATAGCCATGTAGTTAAGTTACACTGACAACAATCAGAACAGTTACAAGTTTTATAAACGCCAAAATCAAAGATCAGAAACCCAAAAGTATATATAAACCGATTAATTGTGATAAACAGCCTTATTCTATGTATAAAACATAGTAGAGATATAGTCATGGTTCCAACTGAATGTTACTCACTGAATGGGCTGTCCACATATTCATCTTCCACGTACATGGGGTCTAAGTTGTGGTTGTTAAAATTTAGGTTGGGTTTCAGTGGTTCTCTAGAAGGATTCGCTGAAAACATGGGTGGAAACTGTGATGTTTCCTTTTCTTTAATGCTCTCAGATCTGGTCAGTACAGGAGGACATGATCCGTGTGGTGTGTTCCCTTTGCTGTGCAAAGCCTCCAGCTCCTCTCTTATGGATTTTCCCCCTGAGTTTGTAGGGAGTTGAGGCCTGGGGCTTGTGATAGGGTTTTGGTAGTTTTGTGTAGTAGATGCATTTAGACTGGCGTCATCTTTGCTTTGAGATTTAAAAGCCATTGAAGGTTTAACAGCAACTGGAGGCTTGTAGGAGGCCCTCCTGGGCGGAAGACTTGTTTGAGGTGATTGGGACACATTTCCCTCTTCATCACCCCCCTGGCTCTCGAAAGCCTGGAGCCTGGCACGGAAACTCTGACTGCGATTGGGGTTCATTTCTCCCACTGCATTTTCTTCCACTGATTTCTTGTGAATAGTCAACAGTATAACTGCTTCCCTCACACTTTTCCTTTTCACTAAAGACCACCAGGCGTTCCTTAAAATGCTTATTAGAGTAAAATTGTTGTGAAGATGACTGATTTTTTTTTCAGTTTTCAATAAATTTGACCCAAGTCTGAACTTTGAGCTCTTCTTCTTTGTCAAACCTATGCAGTTTTGTACGAGGACGTGGAATGGGTGGTTGGCTGTTGGAGTTTGTCAAGGTGGGGGCAACAGTGACTGAACAATGTTTTGTAGGAATATTCCAGTGCACAGTGACAGATTAGTGCATATGAGTGAGGAATCTGTTTTTTCAGGCTTTACGTCAGAGAGTCACTTTGGCCCTCTGTGATTGTAAACAATGTTTTTGTTCAAGTCTTTAGGTCTTTTTCAGATGCAGATTTTCTTTCTGCTGTTTTTGGCAACAACTGTCTTAAGGGTTTGTGAGGCTTTTTACCTAGACACACAAAAAAACACTTAACGTTAGTAGTAAAATAAAAAGCAACAACTGAAAGTGCTTGAAAAGAAGGAAACTAGATCAAGATTAAAAGAAAAACCCAGGTAAAAAAAACAATAAAAACTTTAAGAACAAAGGAAGACTCACTGCCTTATACTCAAACACTTAAGATTACCATGACCTCAGCATGGAACTATACTAATAAAATAAAATCCTATTAAATAGTTTGTAGTGATGACTGGTGCCTGACCAACAAGACTTCTCACCGCTACATGGAATAGTGGAGTTTGTACTGGTGCGGTGGGCTTGACAATATCCTCCTGGGTCTCTTCCTGAATCACCTGATCACAGGATGGAGGAAATTGGGGATGGGGGGTGGGGAGAGAGAAAGAGAAAGAGAGAGAGAAAGAGAGAGAGAGAGAGAGAGAGAGAGAGAGAGAGAGAGAGAGAGAGAGAGAGAGAGAAAGCGCACGAGAGAGAGAGAGAGAGAGAGTGCACACGAGAGAAAACGAGAATGAGTGAGCAAGAGAGACAGACAAAGAGAGTGAAAGAGAGCGTAAAAGAGTGAGAGAAAGCGACCGAGAGACAGGGCAACAGAGAGAAGGCAAGCAAAAGAGACCGCGAGAGAGCAAAAAAGAGTAAGAGAAAGCCAGCGAACGAGCGAGCGTGACAAAGAGAGAGCGAAAAAGAGTGAGGGAAAGCGAGCAAGAGAAAGCGAGCAAGAGAAAGCGAGCAAGACAAAGCGAACAAGAGAAAGCAAGCGAGAGAAAGAGAGTGAGCGAGAGAGCACGTGAGAGAGCAAGAGAGAGAGTGAGCAAGAGAGAGCGGGCGTGAGAGAGAGAGACACAATATTTTGTCTGAGTTCATGATAATACTTTACTAAGTAAATATGGAACTTTTTGTAGCTGTAAGTACAAAGTTTTTGCCTATACTGATATTTTATGGGTTGATTCTTGTATTTTAACACTTCCATTTGATAAAGTTCACTTTCTTAAAACTAAAATGTCTGAACATCACTGTGATCATTAATATAAAAAGGTATGTTTTTATTGCATAAATTTAACTATCAGGTAACATCAACAGTAACAGTCAGATCAAATGTACCTGTGTGACAGTCTGTATGTCAGTGGGCCAGTCCCACCGAGGAGGAAGAACCACAGAACCTCCTGAGAACCAGCTGTTTCCACCCAGAGGTCCCACTGGGATGATGGTGATGTTTGGTTGCCTGAAGAACAAACACTGTAAATACCAGGGACAAAACACACACACTTCCAATGGAAGTGGGAATCCATAATGGAATTAACCGGTACAAAAAAAGTCTGAATGAACTTCCAGGACACCTTAAACATGAACCTCCTACAGATCCAACAAAGCTGAGTTGGAGATAAACCAAAACAAAGTTACAGAGTGGCATATATGTACCGGTGTGTGTGTGGATATATATATATATATATATATATATATATAT